TCTTTCTCCTCTTTCCTCACTCTCTTGCTCCGAACTGATAAGCTGTGGCAGCGCTCGCTGCTTCACTCTGCAGGAGGGCGTCTGGATGGAAAAACATGGAGTCCTTCATTTCTTTGTTCTTTCTGTCATCTTTTCTTATCTTATCTCCTTTCCCTCTGCCTCCCTTCAATCCATCATCCTCAGTGTGCCACCACTTCATTTTCACGTCAGTCATCGCTTTGTCCAGCCATTTAGTTTTAACACGATATGAAAAAACGACGGATCCTGACAAACTGAACAGAAAACCACACTATTTTGTCACATTGTCACAGTCACAAACGCCAGATTTTTTTCTATATAACCATTTGGTTTTTCACATTTTCACTAAAGCCCAAATATTTAGGCCTCGATTTAAGATGTCCATTTGGTCGAGGAGCAGATCGGAACCAAATGTGTAAACAAAGAGAACTGGACCGTGTATTGACCGTTACTGAAAACTGCACATTAACCAGAAAATACTCAAATTTGTTTCTCACTATATTGCCACATAGGCCACATCCATTTCTGGGCTACATCCAAGGTGGCAGTACTGCCTCACTGTCAGACGTAGGCCACATTGGTATCTTTTTGGGAAATCTTTGACCAAAGCCTCTGTTAGCAACTAGTGGCTTAGTGTTTACTTCAAGAAGTCATTCCCAAAATCTGAGTCAGGGACCACAGATGTGACGCTCCAGCCTCTAATCTGCTCTTGGTACTGACCTACAGCCCAAATTTTTTATTTTTTTCTAAAGATAAAATCTCTTAAGCTGGATTGAAATTTGTTTACCAAGATACAGAGAAGTCTTCACTCTCTGATTTATGAAGAAACAAGATTGTTGTCAAGTTAGGTGTTCAAAGGTTCTATCATCTATCTTTGAATACATCTTTTTATTTTAAAACTCCTGTCCTTTCAACTGGTCACGTTTCAGCTCAAATGTTTGTGTGAGACATCACAAAAGCTACTTTTCCTTTTCTCAAAGACACAAACCAAATAGGACAAGGTGAGACAATGTTGGACAAAAGAAGAGTCAGACCAGTGGGTAGAAATCTAAAGACTGTCATCCACCAGGAGAATGGAACAGAGGATTGTTCAGGAGTTTAAGTCAGATTCGGTGACATCAGGGTGAGACAAAGGAGAATGATAACATTCTCCCTTGGTTGAACAGGAGGAGGAGGAGGAGGAGGAGGAGGAGGCGGAGGATGACACATGCCCTGAGCATCGTGTTTGACCTTTAATAGTGCGATTGTCTATAATTCTGAAAACATGTGAGCAACAGATGGCGGCTCTGAGCTCGAGCGTGGAGAATACAGACGCCTGTCAAGTCAGTTTTAATCCCACTAATACCACGTTCCTCTAAAGACAAAACATCAGTTTACAGCCAAACCTCCATCTCCACAATCAGAACTCACTGACAGCTCATCTGTGGTGTCAGTTATTCATCAAAGCCTTTTTTTAAGGAGATGAAGCTGAAAATAGAATAATTTCTCAGCTTCAGCATCTACTACTATGGAAAATAACTCAAACTCTACGAATTACTGTGGTTTCAGTTAAAATACTATTTTTTATGAAACAAAAATGGAGCTACGTCTATGTGATGGGCAGATGATATGAAGAGGGCAGCTAATGTATTCTTTACATCAGGAGATCTCAAATACTTTGGTTTAAAATCTTTTAAGAATTTTGGTAGATTTTAATTGTAAAGCCCTGCAGTTCTGTTCAGCCACCACTAGTTGACTCTAGGAGTATACTGGACTACAGGAGCCTGTCTGGACATTTGAGTCATATTCTGTCAAGGTCAGTTGGTTCAGGTCTACTGACAGCTCCTGTCTCCATGGGAATGTTGAGTCAAGTCTGAAGTAATAATAGTCCCATTCAGGAGAGAGTCCTTAAAGCACAGCTCCGTGTTGTCTCGCTGGAAATGTAGTTTTCCTTGTTGTAGAGTAGCATCTCCCACAACAGAAAAGAAAACTACATTAGCCACTACAGTCCTGGAAGACATTTCAAGGATCAGCAAGTATTGTGTCTTATATATGTCTTATATGTGATGTGGAGGAACTGGGAGGCTGGTATTAACAATATGGAAATACTTCCTGCTGCGGGTGGAGGGCAGTAAAAAAAAGAAGCATCCAAGAGAGACAAAAGGAGAGAGCAGCAGTAGTGGGTTTGGAGAAAGGAAGGGAAATAAGAGGAGAGCAGCGGTGGAGAAGTCAGCAGCTGGACCTGCTGCTGGATTTGGAACTGGGGCTAATCCTTTCCTGCTTTGGTCAGCACTGTGTCTGCACTTCCCCTGCAACAATTCCCCCCTCAGGAATGGGGTATGTGGAGAAAACATCTGTTGGACCTATTGGAGGAAGGCAAAACAACGGCTTCAACCTCTTTTTGAGTGTATTTAAGTATATCTGAACTAGTTATCAAAGACTCCAGCAGAGGGTGGTCTTCCGAAACGAGACATTGAATCTAGCTCGTTGGCAGCGGAGCATTGTTACTGCGTAAACAAATATTACGGCGTTCCAGGAAATTGAGAAGTCTGAAATTTCGGAGCTCTGACAGGGAGAAGTGAACTGAAATGGCACTGAGTAGAGTCAGGGGACAACGACCTGTCCTGACTGTACTGAGATGCAGAGATGCGTTCAACGTCACCTCCTTCCTCCTCGTTCCTCCTGCTGCTCCACTTCTCTTCCCTTTTGGATTATCGCTGCTTGTCTTCCCTTTTTTGCCGTCACGACCCTTTGACAACAAATACACACAGATCCAGGCGTCACTCTTTGTCACTCGGGTGAAACAAGGGACAGGCTCCTGTCTAATTTTCAAGATGGTTGGATGAAACCCATCAGACCATCTGACAGCGTTTCCCCAAGGGTTGAACATGTCTGATTTAGCTCCTCTACATATCCATCTGTCCAGTTACAGAGGGTTTTGTTGATGCAGTCAAAGGAAGACAACCCTTGTGATTATTTAAGAGTCTCATGATGGACAGATCACACAGATGACGTGACTGGTCACATGTCCTGAAGAGATGGAATTAAAAAAATTCAGCATTCAGTCCATGACTAATTCCTATCTTTGCGAAGTGCCTGCAGTGTAGAAAATGTTTTCTAGACCAGCTGTTGCTGGTCACATGCTGGTTTGATGGTGACCGCTGCACACTCTAGGGTATTTTGGAAACAGTGCAGCTATTTAACAATTCCTTCGAGATTTTCTGACTGAGAAGCTTCTCCAGGTCATTATTATTCATATGTGTTTATAGAATTTTCAATGTGCCTCACGGTATATTTAAATCATTACAGCCATTTTAGCAATAAATAACGTTCGTCACGTTCTTTTCGCACACACAGTAGTTCTGGATGAGACAGCCTCTCTGGAAATTTTTGATCTCGACTGTTACACCAGTTTGCTTTTCTCCAGGTGTGTTTTTCAGGAGGAAAAGTCTTGATTTCTGCCAATATTCAACAGTGTGTTTGCACACAAATCAGTGTCGCTCCACCTTCAAGGAGAATCTTTAAGAACTGCCCTACACGGTCTCAGGACATTATTGTCTTTTGGTCAATACGTCAATACGTGACCAGGAGATGACATTACAGAGAGCAACATAACCATTAACGGCTGCGTGACAATAGTTGCAGTTGAGTTTGAGTTGTATGTATTGTCCAAAATAATGAGGCGTCCATGAACGTGGGGAGTATTCCATATCTGGAGAGACCCAGTTAAGGGTTAACGTAACCTGTTGTAGCTATGGTGACTAAAATATATTTGAATACATTTGAGTTTCTTAAACTAAATTTAAACTAGCTTTTGGCTTTTGCTCTTTTCTTTCTTCCATATTTGGCTATGGATAGTTACAAATCTCGTTAGGTAGTTGGTATAGCTATTTTGCTATTGTTAGCATTTGCTAACAATTTGTTGTTTTAAGACTTCTGCTCTGTTGTTTGACTGTTTATAAATATATCCGACTCTTATGCATAAAATGTGTAACGTCAAAATTGTGGCAAATGTAGCAAAAAAGACAAAAAATGACCCATTGCTTCAGAGATGAAGAGCATTATTCCAACTCCAGCAACAAATGATAGTCATTTAGGATCATTACATATAATTGCACCAATTACACGTCCATTCACATGACTGTGGCCTGTGGTAAAACAACAGAGATGTGGGATTTTTAATAAAACTATTTCCGCATTTGCAAAAAAGATTCAGAGCTGAGTGCTGAGAACTAACACATGTAGTAAATATTTTAGTAAAACTTGGCCATGGTACTTTTATGACAAGTATAAGATTTGATCTTTTGCCAAACAAAAACCATCATTTAAACACGAACAGACATGGTTTCTGATCATGTCAAAGCCTGGGATGTCGGTGCAGATCAACATGTGAAATGGTCTGTGGCCTCTGCACCAATATGGCATTGAATGCCTCCTAAATTCAGAAAAATTCAGGAATCTTTACTGTGCTGTTTCGGCACAGAGAAAGGATTTGAATGGATTAAGGCTGCTGCTGTTTCTGCTCTCAGCAGGTCACTGTGGCTGCCCCCTGCTGTCTCATCCACGACTGACCACTGTTGCTGCAGGGCTGTGGCTCTGTATACATCTGCCCCCAGTATACAGAAGGATTTAGACATCAACCAGAAGTGTGTGTGAGTGTGTGAGTGTGTGTGTGGTGGTGCTTGTGGCATTTTTTCATCAACTCCCTCCAGGTTGTGTTTCCTGCAGCCTCTGCACATCTGGACTCCTTTCCTCTTTTCCTGGCTTTAGTCACGACCATCTGGTCTTTTCCTGCAGCCACCATGAAGCGTTTGCCATTTAGGATTTAGATTAAACAGAACGGCAGCTCCAGTAACGACGGATGAAGCAAATCTCTCTGTGATTCTGCTCATACATTGGTGCAGCTGTTCACATTCTCGCAGCCGTCCGTGTGTACAGTTAGAGACATTATCAGGACCCAGGCAGGCACAGGCTAAAGTCGAGAGCTTTCAATCATGACTCACCAGTATTTGGTTGGGTGTTGATAGATGACCTCTGACCTGAAAAAGAGAAATCAGCAGATATGAGTGCGTTCAAGATGCTGAATACTATAAACTGTACACAAATCTTTTAAAACCATGGTTGAAGGAATGAATGAAGGAAGCGTTCACGTCTCATCCTTTTTCCTTCTTGACACTGAGGAACTTGAGATATTCCCTAATTATGTGAGCATAGATTGCGAGACAAGAATATGTAAAACTGTTTCTCCTCCAAAGTCTGGAGTAATTAACTGCATTATCCTTGTTTTCTTCTGACGGAGGCAAGTAAACACATGCAGCAGGCAAATTACAACCTTCAGCCTGTTGTTGGTTGTGAGGGGCAGGTGACTGAGCAGTAACACAGCTGCTGCTGCTGCTGCTGCTGCTGCTGCTGCTGCTGCTGCTCATAAAGGAAGTAAACACTGAGCCTTTTAAGCCTCTACTCAGGTCTGAATGGTGAGCTTTCATCCTTTAATTCAGTGAAGCCACTGAAATAAAGCAATAAATCCTGGTAATGAACGACGAACAATGTTACTTCATGATACATAAAGATTGGAATAATAATAAAAACCTAAGTCAATAATTAGAAATATTGATTCTAATACTGTATATATTTATAGGAAATATAAACTATATATACATATATACAGTATATATAAAACTCAAGTTTTTATTTTGGTGAGAAAACTGTTGGTGACCACTGTTCTAGAACTTTCTCTAGCTTTAAGATCAGCTACCGTTTGCTGAGCTGTTATTCTGCAGGTGTTTTTTAAAAGGTGACGTCAGCACTGCAGAGCACACACACACACACATACACACACACACACACACACACACTCACACACTTACGTACGTCATCTTTTTTACCCCCTTGCTTTCACACACTGTCAAACACCTGTTCTTCACCTCCCCTCCTCCCTCTCTGGAGCTTCACTTCCTCCCTTCACCTCCTAAACACCCCTCTCCTTCCCTCTCATTCACTCCTGTTGTCACACTCCGCCAGTTCTTATGCTAGTGTAATTTTTCGCACCTTGCGTTTCTATTCCTGCACCTCTGGTCAACTCTTCACTGGGGGAAGAGGGGAGGGGGGGGGGGTATGTGCAATAACTCAACAATAATCAGTGTAATAACCACAATCTCAAATTCCATTCATTTCTGTGTTTAGTAGTATAGGTTTATCCATCCATCCATCCATCCATCCATCCATCCATCCATCCACTATTGTCTTCATCTTCCTGTTGCACCTGAACCTGGTGACCTGCCTGATTATTCAGACTGTTTTTGTCTTTGATGCAAACAATATGCATCAGTGGTGGCTTAGTGGTTAAGGAAGCGTACTTGGGTCCAGAAAGTTTCAGGTTTGAGTCCACCACTGAGGTGCTCTGTCATGGCTCCGTCCCCCCTCACTGTTCCCTGGTTCTTAAAGCTGCCCCCTGCTGACTGTGGTGATGGGTTAAAAACAGAGGTGGTGAGCTGTGTCAGTGACCAATAGCAGAAGCAGCCAGTTTGGCCTGTCAGGTTCCCAGATGGAAAAATGCTGCAAGAAGGTAGAAACTCAGACAGGGGAGAGAAGAAAACTCTGGTTCGTGTGTTTACATATCAGTGAGTTAAGGTTTCTTTCTCTTGTCTTTTGGGACACATCAGAATAGCAGCAGCAATTGCAGCATCCTCTTCAGAGTGGGAGCTGGACATTTTCTTCCCTCACTGTCGCTCCATGTGTGGGAGTATTGTATGTTTTCATGTCTGTATCTCAAATCCACACTCCCTCCTTCTTTGGACTGCGGACACCGTACCTTTTTTCCCACCCTACAGTCTTATTTCTCAACGGTTTTGTTGCCCTGTAGTTTTCATATGTGTGTGAAGCGTTTGTGAGTGTTAGCCGGGTTCACTTAGCCTGCTTATCACTGTTTCTGTAGCAGGTGCTGCAGATGGAAAACAATCTGCTAACAGAAGATGTATGTGTGGCGAGCACAGATTGTACATAGTTAATGGATGAAGTCATCGGAATGCAAAACAAATGTAATTTTGCAGACAATCAAAGTTTGACAAAAAACTACATGTCTGCCTTTTGTCCTAAAATTCAGCATGACCCATAAAGCCTAAAAAGGCAACAATTACAAGATTTCCATGAAATTACACAAAAACAACCCAAATATTTTCTACAATTCAATATAAAATGTTCAACAAACTCCCTGTTAGTTTATAGTCTAAGAAGCTGGCCCAAACGACCAGCAGGTCACACAGTTATACTCAACATGTTTGGGACAAAGTTAAAAAAAAAACAAGATTGAAAAATCAAATCCCCTCCCTCCCCCCCCCACACACACACACTGACACAAGCATGTGAGATAATGGTGATAATAGTGCTGTATCCCACTGTAACGCACACACAGTTCACTGAGGCTGGCTCTGATCCAGATGGAGAGGCAGCGAGGAAAAGGAACAGGATGCCATAACCTCGCCTCACACAGCGCCCTAGAGTCACAGCTGCAGAGGCACACACACACTTATACACACACAAATTCACACAAGGAGATGCAGGCCAGTGCACCCACACCTGCATCAGCCCACATGAATGCTTGCGAACAGAAGAAAACCAAAGAAGACTCGGTATATCTGCTGTACGTTCTGTGCCACAGCACTCGTACAGTACGGCCTCGTGAACACTGGAGCGTGAAATGTGAAAACACATGCATGAAAAAACACACACACATTATGCTGACATCACGCATGTACACACGCTGTCACTCTGTGCACACTTCATTAGGAATGTCAGCTGCAATCAGATCACTGCTCCAGTGTCAGAGCACAGACTCTACCGTATGTGAGCAAGAAGAAGGGACAGGAGCGGCAGTGAACCACAAGGGGGCGACTGTGTCGGTCACAGGAGCCATGTGTCAATGAGGTCTTTGGAAAAACATCACATCTTAATGTTGAACGGGTTTGTACCTGATTTATCTTCTGAATCTGTAATTTTAGTTCTTTTACAGTACAACATAATGTCTTTTTCTTCAAAATATCAGACCAGAAAAAGCATGGAAGACATGTCACAACATGTTATTGGCCAAAAGGTCTTACATAAATAATTCCTTCCAAAGTGACGAAGCAAAAGTAGCAAAAAGTTGGTCACAAAGAAGCTGAAGGTCACTTGGTAGATTACACCAGTATAGCCAAATGGCTTTGAACAGCTTGAAATTGGCCAAGCCCACGGCTTATTGGCTAAATGGCTTCACAAGAATGAATCCAAGTTGTACAAGAACACGGCTAAAACAAAAGCAAAACAACAAAACTTTTTTTTTTGGTGGATAGTGACGTATTTATCACAGCCTCAGGGTTGAATTGATGAAAGACAACAAATCAAAATCTATTTAGTGTGCTTTTTCTTGACCTCACCAAAGAGCTTTCAAAGCACTCTCAAGGACAGAAATCCAAAAATCTAACAGCCTTTGGAGGCTTTTCATCCTGCTGACTGCACACTCTAAACTCCATTATATCAGTGGTCCTTAGTCAAATCTGAAATTAAGTGCTATGGTCCTGACCGTCAGTGTGTTGTCAGAGACGGCCCTGCATTAGCTGCTGCAAAGAGGTTTAAACCAAAGTTCTGTCAGTGTCAGCATATTTGAAGAGAGAGAAAGTCAAGGATGTGGGCGGGGAAAACGGTTACCTTCAGTTACTCTACACGTCAGGAAGAAGAACAAAATGTGGCCCACACTGATATGTGGAATTTGGGTCATCCTAGCTATACTCTGAAGTGTTTGGCTTTAGAACCTTGTCTTCTCTGAACAAAATGCAAAATTGATTGGATCACATTACTATGTTTTGGACATTTAGTGGCCCACATCTGGACTCTGGAATGTAGGCCATAGCACAATCAACCAAAGCTTAAAATGTCCAGAGAAGGTATATCTGGTGTCTTCAATTTGGTCCACATTTTAAACCCAGCTTCAACCCTAAAACCAAATGGTCCTTAGAAGTGGTCCTAATTGGAAGGCATTTGTCGCAGTGGAGGTTGTGTCCCATTAGAACCCGGCTTTTGTTCCTGTGAGAACCACTTGTCCTGACAAGATCAGTGTTAGAACCAGTGAAGCTCTTGATGATGTAACAAAAACAAGCAACTTCCCTTTTTTCACTGTGAGAGACATGAAGTCAAACGGCCAGTGACCCAGTCCATTATGAAATTAAATGAGTTTTCAGGCTCTAGACCTGACTCCAAATTTCACATCACCCCCTCTTCTTTTTGTTTGCCTCTCTCTTCTCCCACTTTTCCTCACCCTCCTTGTCTTCTTCTGTCCTCTTTGTCCTTCTATCTTTCCACCAGTGCTTTCTGTCAGCGCATCAGTGGAATAAAGGCTGTGGTCACAGTGGGAGGGAGAGTATAAATTCACTGGCAGAAAATGAACTTTCCTTCATCACGTTGCTTCAACATGTGAGAGGAGACACAGTCTAACTGTGGTACGTCACCTGCCTTCAAGCCCTGCTCACGTTGCGTCTCTTTTATAGATTGGTGTAATATCGCGACACACACCCGGGACTCCATGTTCACTCCTGCAGGTTATTGGTGCCATAACTCTGAGTTAAAATGAGCGTTCCCGCTGGCTGAGCACAACCAGGAGAACAGTTATCCTCACTTTGACTGGCAACCTGTTGACTGATGAGAACAACCTAATGCTGGCCAACAACAAATTCATCAGCAGTATCCATAGAGACTCAGACTCAGATCAGAGATATTCACCAGAGTTTTGAGACTGGAAATGTCTGTGTTTCTGCTGTTGATATTCCGCTGGAGTTTGTACTACAGAAGTCAGCGACAAAATGATGCTAAAAGCTCCATTAAAGTACGATATTCCTGCAAAATCCATCAGTTAGAAGCACTAGATGGCTCAAATGTTACAACCAAATACAAGTATGTGAGTATCCTGGAGGTTGAAGGAACTCAAAATTATGAACACACATTTAATTGCTTTAGATCAGTTAGAATCACAGCAAAAAGAGATGAAACACTGATATGCTAACTTTAATCA